GGGGGGGGGGGGGGGAGGTGAGGCCTCTCCCTCTCTGTGTGGTGCCCACGACCACGGGTGGCTCCTCTGCCCGCAGAGATCCCACTGTGTGCTGGCTGCGACCAGCACATCCTGGATCGCTTCATCCTCAAGGCTCTGGACCGCCACTGGCACAGCAAGTGCCTCCGGTGCAGCGACTGCCACACGCCGCTGGCTGAGCGTTGCTTCAGCCGCGGGGAGAGTGTCTACTGCAAGGACGACTTCTTCAAGTGAGCCCGGCTGCCGCCTGGGAGGGAAGGGGTGGCTGCAGCCTCTGCCCAGTGGGAAGGAGGCCGAGAGCCGGCCACCCTGAGGGGCTCCCCAGGCCCCCACAATAGCCAAGTCTGGAGCCCCGAAAGCCCCCATCCCCAAACCCCTCCCTTTCCCCAGGCAGGGCACGCTGGGGCCTCTCCGATGGCAGCACACTAGCAATTGTTTAAGGTCATTCATTCTGTGAATCATTGAGCCCCAAGTCTGCAGCGCTTCTCTTGCACGTGCTCCCTCTTCGTTGTCGTCTTGCTTTTGTCCTTAATGCTGGGGATGGGGCGCCTACCAGGATTCACATTCCCCCTCCAGCACAGAGGACCACCGTGCTCCCCGGGGCCTCCGGATCCCCTTCTCCGTAGTCTGCGCGGCTCTGCTGGAGCTGCCGGGCAGGCGACCAGGGGCAGGGCCCGGGGGCAGCCTCCCTCCAGAAAGCGCCCTGCGCGGCGCCGCGTTAGCTGCTCTCCTATCCGCCCGCCGCGCTGAGTCGCGCCCTGTGCGTCCCGCAGGCGCTTCGGGACCAAGTGCGCCGCGTGCCAGCTGGGCATCCCGCCCACGCAGGTGGTGCGCCGCGCCCAGGACTTCGTGTACCACCTGCACTGCTTTGCCTGCGTCGTGTGCAAGCGGCAGCTGGCCACGGGAGACGAGTTCTACCTCATGGAGGACAGCCGGCTCGTGTGCAAGGCGGACTACGAGACCGCCAAGCAGCGAGGTCAGTGGGAGGGGGCGACGGTCCCCGGGGTTGGCCTGGGCGGGGCCCACCCTCCCCTTTCCTCGCCTTTAGAATGGGGCTAAGGCCAGTCCGGATCGGGCGCGGAGGGATCCTTGCCGCCAGGGTCCTCCGCGAAGCGCTCACCGCGGGGCGAGAAGTTAAGCGCCTTCCCACCCCCGGGCCCCGGAGCTGGAGTTGGCGGGAACAAGTATCAGACCCGCTCCGGGGAAGCCGGGGTCTGGGGTCTTAGCGGCCGCCGCCCTTGGGAGCGCAGGGCTGTTGGTCTGAATTATGTGGATTAACTTTCCGCGTCTGAATTATCTTCCTAAATCCTTGACCGTGACGATCCGGCCCTACCCGCACCCTTGGAACAAAGAGGAACCCGGGGGGTGGGGGTGAGGGGCACTTGTCAGCGAGGGGCCGAGGCTGGAGGCGCCTGCGCCCCGATCCAGGGCCGCCCCTCGCAGGGCCCGGACGCCCCCCGCCGCTTTTTTCTCCCTCGCTCCCCGGCGCCCGCGTCCCGCGAAACCCGCTGGCCTCCGCGGCCGAGACGGGCTGTCGCAGCGGCGGCGCCGGCCTCAGTGGCCCCGACGTCCGCGCGCCCGGAGGGGGGTGGGACCGCTGGGCGGCTGCAGGAGCAGGCCCAGGCTCACGGCTCCCCGCGGTGCAGAGGCCGAGGCCACGGCCAAGCGGCCGCGCACGACCATCACGGCCAAGCAGCTGGAGACGCTGAAGAGCGCCTACAACACCTCGCCGAAGCCCGCGCGCCATGTGCGCGAGCAGCTCTCCTCTGAGACCGGCCTGGACATGCGCGTCGTGCAGGTCAGCGCCCGGCGCCCCCCGCCCGCCCTGCGAGCCGCTGGCCGACAAGGGCCGCCCCGGGGCCCAGGGCGCCGGCCACTCACCCGCCCCCGCCCCCAGGTGTGGTTCCAGAACCGCCGGGCCAAGGAAAAGAGGCTCAAGAAGGACGCGGGCAGGCAGCGCTGGGGCCAGTATTTCCGTAGCATGAAGCGCGCCCGCGGCGGCTCGAAGTCGGACAAGGACAGCGTCCAGGAAGAGGGGCAGGACAGCGACGCCGAGGTCTCCTTCACCGGTATGGCGGGCGCGGGCGGCCACCTCCCCCGCGGCGCCCAGAGCGGCGGCCCCGAATGGGGAAGAG